TATACATATTTAAATAATATATATTTGTAGTAGGTCAAATGAGTTTCGAATGAAGGAGGACTCGTGGGCGGTTGGCGTGTGCTCTGTTATGGTTTGCTCCTTCTTTCCTATCAAACATCTATCGTCCTTATCTCCCCTTCCTCTCTTTTGTGTAGTTTGTTACTCTCTTGTAACACCTCTAATCTTCGGTACTTATATGACCTTATCGTGTTGCAAGTGCTGTAAAACTCTTACTAATTTTTTTTTAATTAGAAGGAGGACTCAAGGATAATGTATCTTTTTAATTTTCAAAGAGCATCCGAGCAAAGAATGGATTGAGAACCACGAGGTCTGGTGTCTGTCGCAGATCTTGCACTTTGTGATGATCCTCGCTCGCCAAAATAAAGAAATCGAATAAACAACATTTTCGTTCTAATTAATAGACTTTCCTACTTATAAAATATTCCCATCTATTTCGACAAAGGCGAAGAACCATGTACAATTACACCACAGACTCCGGTAGAGAAGAAGAAGAACAGATACTCGTACCATTTATAGGATGCGGAGACGGAGCGGTTAGTGCGCTCGTCTCCGAAGCGAAAGTCCGGGTTCGAGCCTCGGTTCGGACACGGATTTTTTCGCCCCCTCCTGCACACCCAGCAGTAATGAGTACCTGACTTCGAGTTGGGGAAGTAAAGGCGGCGTGGAAAGGAACTGGCCACCCTACCACAATATGCCTAACGAGACAATCCCCAATGTCCGGATCGGATGCGGGAACAACTTTACTTTAACCATTTGTATAGCGCAAATTCCAGCTCAATATCAAGGTCTACGCGCTTTACAATCTATACCATTACTCTAGCAGGCCTGATAGCATTCTACAACAATTTCAACGTTCTGAAAGCATACAATGCAAGCTGCCATTTTACAGACGCTTGACAAAATTATATTTCTCTACCAATGGCCGTGGACCCATTCACACCTGGGTGAAGAGAGGAACGTTGGTGTAAAGGGCTTTTCCTATGGAACTACGCCTACTCTAATAAAGTAAGCGTTGCTAAGGACACAACGTCGGGCCTGAGGCTCGAACACCCGAAGTCGCAACCTCCCGATTACGAGTCGGTAGCTTACCCAAAAGACTACCGACGCCCCCCACCACATCACAACATGGTTGGCTGTTAAGAGTAAAGGCAGCGAACTCTCGAGACTTTAACATCAAACAAACAAAGACTTCTTCAGGCATGATGTTCTGGCGTTAAGAAACGTACTTTTTACCCTACTTCTCTCATTTCGCGAAACTTCAAACGTGTACTTGGTAACCCAGCCCAGACGGAATATATGTGAGGCTGCGTGGTGAAATCAGGCGCTCGTCAAAATAATGAAAGTCAAGAGATTGGCATTTTCCAGCAGGTTTGGAAATTTTTATCGAATATTTGTTTTATGGTTCAACACCTTTCATGTGTGTAAATTTTACTGAAAAACGTTGATTAAAGGTAGAGGAAATGTAAATTTTCAGTTTCCACGGACTCTCAAGCTAAAGAAATAACTCAACTTTGGCTGCCAATTTCTCGCTAATTTACCTCCGAAACCAGGTGATACCCACCTCCTTCATTTGCAAATATCTTTACTTCTATTCAATTTTTGAATTTTTACATCCCAACGTGGTCAAATGAACAAACTTTAAGATGATACCAATAACTCCACATGCCCAAAAATTGCCAAGCGCCTGATTCCACCGCGTCGCGACACATATTATGTGTTGACTGGTAGATACCAGACCAGACTATCAATACTTTATTTATAAATGCACCAGCCATCCATGTCTACGTGATGTTTTAACCTCTTTCTCACTTTCTCCTGTCTGTGAATTTATTATTATAATAATTTTTCCTTTTACATTCTAGACTCTACCTTAATGCACTCTGTATCTATGATTTTTCAACCTGGAATTCGCCTATAATTTTTGGCTGGCAGATAAAAACACCTGTCTGTATCTGGATGCGCCTGGCAGAGTCAGATTACGGTTCCAGCAAGTGTGGACTCCTTCGAGCAGTCGATGTTGAATTTTGCCTCAATTTTTGCCATTTGTGTTACATCGTGATGAAATTAGGGGCCTGTCAGAACAGCGAAATCGAAAAGAAATCGACTTTTTTTCCTCGCCCGTTGAGCAAATTATTTTCGCAACACCCTTTGTGTCCTTTTTGAAATACATTTCGGTGTGGATTTTACTTTTAACTTTAAAAAACACCTGTTCAAAGGTATATAAAATGTTAATTTGTAGTTTCAAAGCGCACTTTAGCTTTGGTAGTTACCAAACATTGGTGACCATTAAATTCTCTCCTTAATTTTATCTCTGACACCAAGTGACCCCTATCTCCTTCAATTATTGCAAATATCTCGACTTCTGTCAAAAGCAAGGCAAATGAATAAGCTTTAAAATGATACCAATAACTTCATATGCTCCAAAAACTGAGGAGTGCATGATTCCACCGTGACATGACACATTTTAAAGCATCATGGCGGGTGGTTGGCGGGTGCTCTGGTGGGGTTTGCTTCTTCTTTCCTATGAAACAACTGTCGTCTTTATCGCCCCTTCTTCTTTTTCTATGTTTGTTACTCTCTCTCTCTTGTATCACCTCTAATCTTTTGGCGCTCATATGACCTTATGCAGTTGAGAGCGCCGTAAAACCTCTATTAAAACTAAACTAAAAGCAACATGTAAGCTTTTTAGTTGCAGGAGGGGGCAGATGAAGATGAGGAAGAAAGGAGGGAGAAGAGAGGGAAGGGAGGGAAGGGAGAGGGAAGGGAGAAGGGAAGGGAGAGG